CATGGGCAACTCCAGAGTGGAATAAGGTCCAGCCCCTCTCAAGGAGATTGATTCCAGAGCTCATGGTGTGCATTGAGGTGAGCCCACCTATATCTAGTTGGTACCTCTCAACTTCACGCACAAGCTCAGGCTGTCATATTCCATGTCCCAAGAGTCAGCTTTGGTAAATCAGGGTCAGAGCGCCAAGTCCTTGTCTTCGGCCACTGCCCATGGCGTTATGCACCTGACTCATATGGCCCCTGCTGCAGGTGGTAGACCCACAGGAAGGCAAATCCATGTTGCTCAATCGGGATGAGCCTAAACGGGCATCATGGGTAGAGACCCAATCACCAGGCGCTCATTGGTGTTGTGTTTCCACAATAGTATTTTGTCCGCCTAGTTAGGGAACTGTTTCACTGCCCACACTGTGGCTAACAGTGCTTTCTCACAGTCAGAGTATTTTACTTTAGAGCCTGCCAGAGTCTTGCTGGTATAGGCTACTACACGTTTGTCTTGATCATGGATTTGATACAGACCAGCACTCAATCAGTGAGTGGAAAAACCCACTTCAAGGTGGAAGTCTTTGTCATTGTTGGGATATGCCAGACATGGTGCTGAGAATAACATGGCTTTGAGGGCATCTTGTCTTGTTGTTGTACATCAGACTACAGGAAAGTCACATCCTTCTTAAGGAGTTCGGTTAAGGGTTTTGCCAGATCAGCATAGTTCTCTATGAACTGGCTTGAGTAATTACAAATGCCAAGGAAACAATGTAGCTCCATGAGGTTGGAGGGTGTCTTACGGTCGGTAAGATCTTGGGCTAAGTTGGGGTTGTATGCCATCGTGACAGACAAGTAGACCAATGTACGCCACCTTGGTTTTGTACCACTGAACCTTCAAAAGTGAGATCTTTGCACCAACAGCTGTGAGTTGATCCAGCATGTGGTCAATCTCAGCTAAATTAGTATCAAGTGTGGGTTGTTGTAAAATAATGTCATCTACGTAAATGAGGATTCTGCTTTCACCTGCATAGGGACATGCTTGTTGAACTCAGCTGGTGAGTTTGCATAGCCAAAAGGACACCTGGTGAACGTGTATTGATGGCTAGCAAAGGAGAACGCCAACTTGTGTTGATATGTATTGGGATCATACAAAACCTTGAAGTAACATCATGCATGGAGAAGTATTTGACTTTGGTCACCTTATGATGACTTTCACTGGGACACTTTCTTTAGAGGATTTCCCCCTTAAAATTACAGTTCAGTGACAATCATTATTATATGATGTATCATAATATTTGGAATTCAAAGACAATATTGTGATGTCTATAGAAAGATAAGAACCTCTTTCCAACAGTATATGAAAATCAAAATGTGTTTTGGAATGAATGTGACTGAAAATGATCAGAAATATCACAAATGTTAAAAACGTTCACTTTTTGTTTACCATTGTATTGTGAAGTTTAATTGAATAAAATACTTTTTTTGAAACCTCACTTTTTCATTGCTTAATCATAACATACTTTTACAGTTTTTTTACGGTTTATATTTTCTGTTTCTCATGTGACCCCATGGAGAAACCTTATAGTGACAAGCATTCTCACACAGGTGTTTAGATTCAGGTGTCAGAAACACACTCATTTGGGTTGTGGTGGCCACTACATACATCTTGAATTACCATGTACTGTATAAAATACTTTCTAATGATGTTATAAGTATCATTATATATGTTGTTGTTGTGGTTTCTCGGTTTTGTCTTGTTTTTGCTTTTTTTTTGTTTTTTTTTTTGGGGGGGGGGGGGGGGGGTTGTGTGTGGGGTTCCGCAGGTCTAGAGGCAGACTTCAATGATGTTGATTTGTGTTCTTTATACCTCTCTCTCTCTCTCCTCTACTCCTATCTCCATTTCCCTTTTAACCCTTCTCCCACTTTTCCGCTTTGTTTTCTTCTTTTTTTTTTATTCCTGTGTCCTTTACATCTAAAACACACCCAAAGCAAATTCTAATAAACTTTTATTTATATATCAGGTGGAGCACTAAGGCCAGCCATAATGCTCTACTTGTGAAAGTAAATCTGTTGGGCCTCAGATTGACACTCAGACAATAATTCTGAGTGCCACAATGCCGGACAGGACTAGGAGAAAAAAATAAAAAGACTGGTTCATCTCAAAGATCCAGTCCCCCGACACAAACAGAGTAATAATAACTAACTAAGTGACTTGGAGCTATAGAATTAAACTGAATTGAATTGACTTGAATTTGTGTTTTGGAAAAAACAACGGGGAAGACTTTGTTTTATCAGATACAAAATAAGAATGGTCTCAAGGTCTACCTAATTATCTAAAGATTTGTATGGTTATGAAGCAGTTTTTGATGCATGAGGTTTGAGATATTTTATCACGAGTAAATGACTGATTTTCAGGCACAACATGGTCATGATTTGCAGGAGCAGGTAGAACCCAGTGGTGCAGGTAGGGACTCAGAGACTAAGCGGGTAAAAATAAATACTTTTAATAATAATAAATCAACAAGCTGACATGGCAGCATAAACTTAAAGCAGGGGGTAAACAGGAAGGAACCAGAACCGGATCAGGACAGGACAAGACAAGACCATACCCAACAACAAACCGACACTGAACAAGACTCACAGATAGACTTAAATATACAGATGAGACAGGGCATAATTACAAACAGTTGGACACGAGACAAGGGTGAAACTGAGTAGGAGACACACTAGGGAGTACAGATAAGGAAGGCCCACCAGATGGCGCCACCCTTACAATACCCTCCCCCCAAGGATGCCCACTGGCATTCCCAAAAAGCCCATCCCAAAAGACTTTGGTGGGAGGAGAGAGGAACCACAAGGATTGAGGGCCCAAGGAAAACACTAGGACAAAAACAAAAACTGTCAGAACCAAAGCCTGGGATCTAAACTAAACACAATCAGGGAACACAAAAATGTCGGTACAGTTAGGAGACTGTCCCTAGGAAGGCTATACTTCAGGTGGGCAGCCAGGAGGTTGTCCAAGACTTTGGAGCAAGTCCAGCGGGTGGCCGGGAGATTATCCAACAATCCAGGGCAAGTCCAGCGGGAGGCCGACCAAAGTACTGGAGCAGGTCAGGTGGGTGGCCGGGAGACCGTCCAAAGGGCTGGCGCAGACCAGGCGGGTGGCTGTCCAGCACGCCGGAGCAGACCAGGCAGGTGGCAGGGAGGCCGTCCACCACGCTGGAGTGGGACCAGGGATACTAAGGAGTACCCAACCGAAAAGGAGCCTGGACAAGGTGAGGAGCCTGAACAAGGTGAGGAGCCTGGACGAGGTGAGGAGCTTGGACAAGTCATGGAGCCTGAACGAGTTGTGGAACTTGGATGAGGCGTGGTGCCTGGACAAGGAGTGGAACTTGGATGAGGTGAGGAACCAAGGCAAGGCAAAGTAGGTGTAGACCCCTCAAGGAGTACTGGACGTGGAGACCTCGAGCAGCTTGGAGACCTTGAGCGGTGTGGAGACCTCGAGCGGTGTGAAGACCTTGAGCGGTGTGGAGACCTCGAGCGGTGTGGAGACCAAGAGCGGTGTGGAGACCTTGAGCGGCGTGGAACCCTCAACAGCTGCCACAGGACACTCAGTGGATGCAGCTTCCCTTGAACCCTCAGGGGATGCAGCTGCGCTGGAACTCTCTGGGGATACAGCTGCCTGCTGCATAGACCCCATAGCAGGAGGCGGTGGAGAGGAGCCCATCTGGACCGCCACAGCGGAACAGGAAGGAGATGAGTCTGCCTGTAACCCCACAGCAGAGTAGGAAGGAGAAGTGTCCACCTGGACCCACACAGCAGAACAGGAAGGAGATGAGTCTGGCTGGATCTCCACAGCAGAACAGAAAGGAGATGAGCTCGTCTGGACCCCCACAGCAGTACAGGGGGAAGGCGGTGAGGATTATGGTTTGACCCCCATGGAGAGACTCAGAGGTGGGGCATCAGGATCAGTTTCTTGAGACAGACAAGGAGATGGTGGTGCTTCTGGTTCAACTCTCACGGAAACACCCAGAGGTGGGACATTGGGACCAGCACCCAGGGACACACAAGGAGGTGAGTCAGGCTGTGGGACTGTGTTGGGCTGTACAGCAGAGTCAGGCTGTGGACCAGAGTCGGGCTATGGACCAGAGTCGGGCTGTGGACCAGAGTCAGGTTGTATGTTTGGAGCTAAACCATGTTCTTTAATAGCCCTGATCTCAACCAAAAGCTGATGGTACGCTGGGATTAATGTGAGGCCAGGTATAGATAATAATAGTTTCTCAGCTAAAACAAACAAGGTGATCTGACTGTCAGGGTTATGTTTAGCAGAAGAAAACAAGTTTTGAAAAGTAGAGTTTATTTTAGTAATATCAGAGGCACTTACTACTAATGAAGAGTTCTTTGTGGCAACCTCTGCTGGAGTGGTGTGGAACCGCTGTGCTCACTGTTCTCCGGGCTGGTCCCCCTTTGTCTGCTCCATAGACGAATGGTGGGTGGACTGCCACTCCTGCAAAACTCTCCCCAGAGTTTCAGGTTCATCTTAAGGAGAGACGGACGGAGGCTGGGCCCAAGAGGTGACGGGACTGATCTTTACGGAAACTCTGTGCGGGAGTGAGGTGCCAGATTCCACCTTCACCGATGTCCTGAAGGTGAGGCATCCGGATCAGCCCTCATAGAAGCACCGGAACAGGGTCCAGGAAACTCAACCTCGCCGGGCCGAGTCAGATCAGCTGCTGGAGTCAGAGATGTCAGCGAAGGTCCCGTGGACAATCTCCGGGTTCATTTTCTGTCACTCCGGCGGCGATGGTGGGAGGGAGGGCAGGAATGAAACAGAGCTCATCCACCAGCTCTGCATCCTCCCCCGACGTCCATCCCGAGTAGCCAAGCAGTGCTGGAGGTGAGGAGAAACTTGGCTTGGATGCTTGGTGTTCACCCCGGAGCTGAGACCATTTTTCCTCCTTAAGAACCAGGAGAGGCAAAGGCAGGATTTCAACCTGGTGGTTGAAACCTGGTATTCGGGCGAAGCCAGAGGAAACACTGGTGGAGGCCCGCAGCGGTCCTGACGTGCAAATCGGTCGTCCGACCTGGGTATAGGGGCGAAAGACTAATCGAACCATCTAGTAGCTGGTTCCCTCTGAAGTTTCCCCCAGGATTCCTGGCGCTCGGAGCCTCGCAGTTTTATCCGGTAAAGCGAATAACTAGAGGTCTTGGGACCGAAACGGTCTCAATCTATTCTCAAACTTTAAATGGGTAAGAAGCCCGGCTCGCTGGCTTGGAGCCGGGCGTGGATTGCGAGCCGCCAGGTGGGCCACTTTTGGTAAGCAGAACTGGCGCTGCGGGATGAACCAAGTCCTCGTATTCGGACGGGTTCTGTCCAGAACCCGCCGCAAAAGACCACGGACTCCCCCATCTGTGTGGCTCATACAAACAGGTGAGTGAAGCCAAGGAGAACCTGCCTGTTGGGTTCTGGTTCTGGTCATTTCGTACTATCAGGATTTGCAGGAGCAGGTAGAACCCAATGGTGTAGGTAGGGACTCAGAGACTCAGCGGGTAAAAATAAATACTTTTAATAATAATAAATCAACAAGCAGACGAGATAGCATAATCTTACAACAGTGTGTAAACAGGACGGAACCAGGACCGGATCAGGACAGAACAAGACAAGCCCACACCCAACAATGAACCAACACTGAATAGGACTCACAGATAGACTTAAATACACAGACAAGACAGGGCATAATTACTAACTGCTGGACACAAGACAAGGATGAAACTGATCAGGGGTAAATAGGAGACACACTAGTGGGTACAGATAAGGAAGGCCCACCAGATGGTGCCATCCTTACAAACAAAGCCTTTTTGGTCAGTTGAGTGACACTTTCAGTGTGGTATTTTTTTCTTACAGGAGAGACAAATGTAACAGACCAGTAATACTTTAAATTGTGTAAAACATGCAGATTAACAATCAATTATATCTGGTCCACAATAACCTGTGAGCATTTTTGTTTTATTTTATTTCATTTTTAACACAATTCGAGCTTGGATTAAGACATCAATGAAAATAATATTCAACTAAATGTTGCCTTTCAGTATATAGATTACATTCAGACACCAGTGTGTAAACAGGTTTGGTTTGTTTAACAGAGATAATTAAACTATTTTTAATACTTTTTGAGTTTATATAAATGATTCCTTAAGTCAATCAAGCTGTTTCTGTGAGTAGCAAGTTGGCCATCTGGCCTAAAACATTTGATTGTTATACATGATGATTGATTGTTTTGGGCAGATAGGTCCTTTTCTAGAATAGAATTTTCTAGGTTCTAGAATTGCGCCGCTCAAGGTGGCTGTATGTTGGAGCAGCTCTGCTACTTTCATTCTGAGATTTTGCTTTTGGAAACTTTAATTCCTCTTTTTCTGGATGTAAATCACATTTTTTGGATGATTGTTTCCTCTGGTATCAGATGCTGTGCAGCTGGAAGGATTTTTACTGAAACTTTTTTAGTTTTGGACATTTGTTATGATGCGTAACCATGGCAACAAGGCAGTTTTCTACAACCAACAGCTGATTAACATCTCAAAAGCTCAAATAATATCTCAACTACAGCCCCAAATCTCAAATGAGTTGAAAAGGATGTTCTGTGGACGCATTCTCATCTACCTGCCAGCTGTGCTCGAGTGCCTGACCACTGAGATCCTGGAACTAGCAGGAAACACGGCTCATGACAGCGGAAGGACAGGATCGTCCCTCAGCACCTACAGTTGGTTGTCCACAGTGAAGAGGAGCTCGGCAGACTGCTGAGAGGAGTGGCCAACGCAGTGGGAGTTCTGCCCGGCATTCGGGCGGTCCTACAGACCCGGGGAACCGAGAGGCCAGCCGAGTCTGGGTGGACGGATCAGACTGCATCTGCAGCCAGTTTCTTAGGATCCACTGTGGGATGGACCTTTTCAAGAGATCCTTCCTGTCTACAGCATCAGCATCTATAACATCTCTTAATCAAATGAGGATAACGAGTTACAACAAATTTTTTTTTTTAATCTATGTGTGTACATTTGTGTATATTTATGTAACCTGTCCTGAAAATCTGACCATGCAATAAAATCCTGGTTAAAAATCTGTTGTTGAGTGTGGTTCTTTTTGAGTAAACAATGTAAGCGAGAATATTTTTCACTAACGTAAATACTGTATACTTCTACTAAGGTCATGCACACACTATATTGTGCGGGGGGGGGGGGGGGTGATGGACAGGTCTCCAGGCCATCACAGGTGTCCCTGTGATGGACTGGAGACCTGTCCATCACAGACACACCTAGAGATGTCTCCAGTCCGTCACAGGGACACCTAGAGACAATTTAGAGTCACCAATCAGCCTAACATGCATGTTTTTGGTCTGTGGGAGGAAACTGGAGTACCCGGAGAAAACCCACGCAGCACGGAGAGAACATGCAAACTCCACCCAGAAAGGTCCCTGGGCCGGGGTTTGAACCGGGACAACCTGCTCATTGAGGGGCAGCAACTCTACCAACTGAGCCACTGTGCTGCCCTCAACTAAAATCATGATTAAAAGAACGTACGAAGAAAGTAGCTCTGAAATAAACATTTAAAACAGACGTGTGAGTCTTGTACTATTACAGTCAGATATGCATTTAAAGATTTTGTCCAACAAAAACAATTTAAATAATTTGTGATTTTTGATGCCACAGTAGTTACTAAAGTTCAGAGAAAGTGAAAACTATAAAGTATATCACAAAACTTTTATTAACATGCAGGATTGTTACTTTGACTCCTGAGACCAGGACAAAATGTTGCAGTTCTGTGCACGTCCTAGAAACAGGCTCTACTTAAGACAATACAATCATTCCAAGTGTAAAGTTTTAAACATGTTTACCCAAGATGCACCACACACCCGTCTTTCTAGATCATTTTAAATTTGGTTTTGTACTTTCTTTCCAATGAAAAAGTTAAACCTGGTCAACTATTTTAAATAATCTTTGAATTGACAACCAAAATGTCTTCGATCTTGTATTTGAAAATGACAATTTGTCTAAGCAAATTATAATTTAGGTTTGCAGAAAACATGTATTAGAACCTCAATACTCAAAACTAAAACAGTAAATTAGGACTACACCAGTTAAAACTGTTAAACAATACAGCTAATCTAGAAATAATAAAAACCTACACGGACAAGCTACTGTCACAGCTTTAGAAGGTTTAACTCAAAAATGCAGACTGACACCAAGGACTGAGCATGAGACAAACAGAGGTCCAGATGTTGGCAAAGCTCAACAAGGCTCGGCTCAAGATAAAAACCAAAACACCAGTAGGCCTGGACTTATGAGGAGATGGTTGCAGCTGAGACTAAAGGGATGAGTGGAGGGAGAGGAAGGCATGGCAGGACTGAGCAACAGGAACTGTGTATGGAAAAGTACTCCAAGAACAACCTGGAGACACAATAAACAGAGGAACAAAACACTAGAACCGCAAAACAAACATGATAACAAAAGGAGGTAAAACTGAGCAATACATAAATTACTAAACATCAAAAAGACGCACGCTGACATTTTTAACAATAAAGTAACGATAAAGAACGACAGGATTTAGTGTCACAAAGGACAAATTTAAAAACACACAGAATCAAGTTAGATTTCCATCTAAATGTACGTTGTAATTTAAAAAACAAAGTAATGTTAAATAGGACTTTTAGAAACTAAATTATGTACAAAATATCTGTGGACATTTTTATATTTCATTCAACATAAAGATTTTATCTTAATTTTAAAAATATGAAACAACAAAGCTTTCCTGGTGAGTGTAATTAGGAAACTGATCAAATATTTAGGCCAGTTTTATTAATTAGAGTTCAACATGTGTCAAAAGCTTAATTAAGTGACATAAAACAAAATATTGTAGGAGTTAGTACGAGTCAAACATTCATCCAACCATCCTATTTTTATCTTTATCGTAATAACTCAAACAACCACGATCAGTTCGGACAATGCATAAGATCCTCAGCCACTGATTTTAGCCTTCAGGTTACAAAAAAGATGGTACACGAGAACAGGTCTGATAGTCTGATCTCTCAGCCCATAAATGAGAGAACTCAGACATCTGGGGAAAATTATAAAGCAAACGTAAAAAATATTCTGGACCCACAGAAAGGCTGTCCTTGTCAGAACTTTTGACAGAGCTATGATTAATGGGTTATTAATGGTTGAGGACAAACTGAGGCCCAGCTGCACCAGATGCAGTAGAAGTGTGTTACGAGCCTTACGAGCTAAAGCTTTATCCGTGGAGACCGACCTGGCTGCGATGATGACACCGATGTAGGAGAAGGTGGCAGCCACACCAGCTGATACAAACAGAACACAAGTGTAAGCCTTGTCATACTCCGCAGTCAGAGAGCCAAGAGCTAAAGCTATGTTGGAACAAAGGTCTTTAATCTGTAACCTCTCCGCCTCTTTAAATGGAAACTGTAAAAACAAGAGAACACGGGTGAGATTGTTCAGTGAACTCACAGCCCAAATGGCAACGACAGTCACGGTTGTGTTTCTGACGGTGATGATGGAAGCGTGCCTCAGTGGGAAGCACACAGCTACATATCTCTCCAAAGGCATTACTACCAGAGTGAGGGGGGAAATCCCAGTCGTGAGATTGGCGAGCATGCTGAGAGCAGTGCACAAAGAATATGCCAACTTTACTTTACAAACAGAGAGTAAGAACTGAACCTGACTCTGAGCCAGCTGAACAGTGTCTGCAAGAAGAAGGTTATACAGAAAGATGTAACGGCAGGTGTCACAAAACACCGGCTTACTCCTCAGAGTGAACAGCATCACACCATTGATGTAGAGAAAAATGAAAGATGGAATTGTAGACATGGTAGAAATAATAATTATCCGCAGTGAAGCCTCAGTCTGCACTTCTGTGATATTCGACTGTGACTGGGATACGTTTACCATCGCAGACAATACTGAATGTCAACAAATTCACTCGATGATGTGACTGAAAATACAAAATAAATCCAGTTACAACACCTGCTAACATAAATGATCGGCACTTTAAAATAAACACTCTAAAAGAGACAACTCTCCTGTGCTGAGAGATGAAGTCAACGTGCACTGATCCTCTGTCTTTCCCTGAAGTTAAACTGTGCCTATAAGGTCTGCCCTCACCATTTATCCACAACACATCACGTCACTGTTTGCACATGTTCTAATCCCCCATGTGCAGTAAACAACATGACAACACAGCACTTTGTATTCACGATGCAGTATCAGGGAATTTGGTAGAAACTATGTTGAATCATGGGTTAAGAATGTTTTTATATTGTGACTGAGAACGTCTTGCCCTGCTGCCTCTCATAACATCTTCATTCCCTTGGCCTGGAGGCAGACGTGGACCAAACACATGGGTCTGAGCGGTGCCTCCCTGACGCCCTCATCCACGAAAAAGAGTAACGGGATGTGTTACATGGATAACGCTGAAGAGTTTGTGTGTTACAGTGATGTTATAAAGGTGAACACAAGGACGGGTTCAGGGTTCTTTCTGTGACACTGTATGATTGTACTCTGCTCATTTGCAGCCTTGCAAGTAAAGTTAGGGGCGGCTGTGGCTCAGTGGTTAGAGCAGTCGTCCTGCAATGCAAGAGTTGGGGGTTCAAATCCACCAGCAGTCACTTGCCCAAGTGTCCCTGGGCAAGTGACTGAACCCCTCACAGCCTCTGATGTGTGTCCCCGGTGTATGAATGTGATGAAGCTCTGATTATTCTCTTTAGAATGATTTGTTCAATTAGCTTTGTAGAGATCTAGTATAGAGCTGCATGAATGGGTCAATGAGGCACAGATTGTTGTAAAGAGCTTTGAGTATCTTGAAATAAGATAGAAAGGTGCTGTATAAATACAGTCCATTACATTTACCATTTAAAGCTGTTTAAATGTCTTCACCTGCCGTTAGTTTGTGGTTCTTTATTGAGTTAACAACTTTAGTGAAAGTAAGGCCGAGTACCGAACTTCGTTTTTGTTATGGTACCGACTGAACTGCTTCGGTCGGTACATACATCAAAATATGCCTCGTCTTTCAGTGTCAGGTTTTGGTGATGGATGTAACGTTACACGTGTAACGTTCCAGCCAATGCCAGTGCACCAACTTGCAGCACGCAGGAAAAAAACCCAGAAAAACACGGACGGGGTTCACTCCGGACTAAGAGCGTAAAGTTGCTCCATGTTGGACTGCAAGGAGAGAGGAGCGCAGCGTCCTCCTCTCAGTGTTAAAGTCAGCCTGTGGGTGTTGGAGCCAGAACGGCCTGATTCAACATCTGCACGACCGGACTCTGCTTCGCACCGAGGACGGAGCTGTGTCTGTGTTTCAGCTGGTAAGTTTACGTTTGTTAACCTTGCAGCTTAATCCGTGCATCACGGTGAGTTAACAAATCAAGAGAATGAGTTTAGTATTCAGCTCTGACTGATTCAACGCGCTGCCAAACAGGTTACACTGAGTAGAGCGGGCGACTGTTCCAAGATGGCGGCCCTACGGCTCGTCAGCACCAATAGGCGATAGCTGTCAATGTTGGATCTAGCTTTTATATATCTATGTGACGTACCGCGACAACTGGTCCGCCCACTCAACGAGGTGTCCACTAAATCTGCTTCACCAGTTCTCTGTTGTTAACGCCCTGGCAGCAGTGATGGAGAAAGGTCAGGGGAGCTTTGCTCTGAAATAATGATGAATGGTTGTTTGAAATGTGGTTAATAGTTTAACTCAAAAACCGCTGATCTGACTCCAAATACACCCAAATTATCCCCACCCGCCCAAAGCAAATTTTACCCGCAAAATCAGAATGAAAACCGCTCAATCTGGCAACACTGCCGTCGGACAGACCCGCTTCTGGAGGGCTGTCTGGGAGGGCAGCTGCTGCGGTCCTTATTATTATCATACTGCTAACGGGACATGCTAACAAGACCACACCGCTAACAGTACCATGCTGCTAACAGTACCATGCTGCTAACAGTACCATGCTGCTAACAGTACCATGCTGCTAACAGGACCATGCTGCTAACAGGACCATGCTGCTAACAGTACCATGCTGCTAACAGGACCATGCTGCT